TCGGAGTGAATGCACTCCGAGTTTAATTTATCCCATTTGTTCCCCAGGCTGCAGGTATTTGTGCTGAACATCCGCAGGCCTGATCTGTGGCTAGTGATGGGAACTTTGGGGTAGCACTCGGGCTCTAGTCTCGAGCTTGCCCTCCGTTTTTTGCGTCGGAGGGTTTACGGGGTATGCCATGCTTTTCTAGCCTGGGCTTGCGTTTTAGGTTGAGAGGCTGTGGGTTGGCCTGGGAGAGTAACCCGGGCCAACTAGAGGGTGGTACAATCGCATTAGGTATTTCCTTGGTTACCACCTTAGGTAGTCGCAGAGAGGGTAACTTCATGGGTGTTACGTTCGGAAGCAATTTTTCTGTTCCATCCTTGCTATTATTATTGGGTTCTAGGGATGATGCCCCCTTGGTCTCTGCCCTCAGTTGGGCAGAAGCTGCGAGGAAAGAATCTCGATGCCGAGGATTGCTGAACTCGACAAGCACAGGCCTCCCCTTATTCCCTTTTAGAAACTATTTTCCTAACCGTAACACCCTCTGGATGGTTGTGTGAGGAGGAGTGCCTGATGGTCTGAGGAGGGAGGTGACACGGTGGCTTAATAGCGCTTCCCTCTGTTTTGCGATCCAACAGAACCGCTCAGTTAAGCCCTTGATTATTACATTTCTATGCCTCCCGAGATCGTTGTTGGTGTTCGCCTCGAATGAGTTTCGTGCTGTTGGAATTTGCCACGGCTAACTTGGCAACTCTGACGAGTTTAGTGGCTTGGTTGACTGGGGAATCAGTGATCGCCTTCAGTTGAAGTGTCATGTCATCCTAAAGGCTTTTCATATCCCGGTGGTCGATGGTGGGCTGAATGTCCTTCCTTTCTATCACTGTGACATCTATGAAGGAGCTACAGTGTGCCTCTGGGAGCTTTTCGTCTGAGTCAGAGGTTGGTCCGGTCCTTTTCTGTGGTGCTCTACCGGCACTCGGCTTTAGTGGTGCCAGTACCTGAACAGTCGATTTAGGTGGAGTACCGGGCCTGGTAGCCTTTACTTTGGCTGCCTGAGTAAAAATGTTTGTGCACGCATAACAAACCCATTTTAGACATTTGTGCTCTGTGCAGAATCGGTAGGACTTGATAGTCAGTTTGCTGCACCTTCGGTAATACCATGTATCGCAAACGTCGCAGCAGATACGCTGGCTTACGCTAGCTAGGCAATCTGTTCTCCCACTGGGAAAAACCCTGGCCTCAGGGCCATTGCGGCTGGAGAGAATTTTTTGCTCACAGCTGTTGTAGTCATTAGGATAACCTGCTGCGTCCGAGTGGTAGGTTCTGAGGATTTCAATAGATTCAAAGAGCCTTTAGATAACGGATCATGGCTTGGAATTAATAGAATAGCCAATGAGAAGGATTCAAAATGGAGAAAGAGAGAGAGGCAAGAACATGCACTGGCAAGGAACATCAACCACAAGCCAAAGCTAATGCCGACGATGGACTCACCGAGTTTCCTCACAGAAGACAACCACTTACGCCTGGGTTTACCTTCGTATCATCCTGAGCTTACCCCTAGGAGAGCACCAGTCGGTTTCAGCTGGACTTGGATCCACCATGGAATGATTTGTGGGCTTTGAAGAAGATTTCCTTGAGTTTCGCCACACGCTCCGAAAATTGTACACATTGCACAGTTGTCTTTTTCCGTAAAGGGAACCATGTATATAAATCCGCGAAGAGAAATCCACAAATCCACAGGGGATAAATTATTCTGCCATAGAAACCTCAAGAACAAGTGAGCTCGGGTCAGGCTCCTTCATTGCTAGATCTGATCGTAATGAATGAAGACAACCAGATCGACGTGTTAAATCACCTTCCACATCTCTGAAAGAGTGACCACGTAGTCCCGCTATTTCACTTCCTTACGGAGTGGACAACCAAAAGTGAGTGTCCACAAATGGTCCGATATTTCAAGCTTCGCAACTTCAGTTCTTTAAGAAAGTTTCTCAGGGCACAATTTAACGGCCCTCCACTGTACCTACCCGTAGACAATCTCACAGAACAGATGGAACGAATCGTCACGTCAGTTGAAGAGAGGTTCGTCCCCCGTGGTTCTTGCGCACTATAGCCATAAACCACCTATTCCTCGTCCCATCCGTAAGCTTTTAGATGAGCGGTCTAGACTGTCTGCAAGATACAAGCAAGCGGGAATCTAAACTGATGGACTAGCCTTCAAAAGGCTCAGAGACATCTGCCGCTCATATATTAGAGACTACAAACTGCGCACTCAAAGAGCTATATCTGAACGGGTTCAAAAGAACAGACCGTTCCTCTACAAGTATATCCGTCGACTGCGTGGCACATCTCACCCCTCTCTTGCCCTCAAGTTATTGGACGGGACAGAAGTAAATGCCGCTTCACAGATTGCCGGCGAATTTAAAAGGCATAACCAGATCATCTCCAGTTCCACTCCCGTCACTACCCATCCGATACTACAACCCATTCCACTAAACTCCACGCTCAGCCTTGGTACTTTCTCGCAGCTAGACGTAGAGAAGAAATTACGGAACCTCAACCCTTACTTTTCTATGGGGCCCGACAAAGTACCCCCCAGAATTCTTATAGAGTCGGCTAACATCTCAGCTGGCCCATACACCTGACTCTTCCAATGGTGTATGGATGAGGGAATATTTCCTTCTCGCCGCAGTTTTCTCCCCCATCTACAAAATAGGTAGCAGATTCCTTCCAGGAAGCTACCGTCCTATCTCCCTGACGAGTGTACCAAGCAAAATTCTAAAGCACATGCTAAAAGAGGCCACCTTGAATCACCTCTGCGCAAATAATTTACTGTTAACCTTCCAGCATGGATTTTTGCTAGGTAGATCTTGGATCACCAATATGTTGACTGTCGTGGATAGTTTAACAAAGGCTTATGATGAAGGCAAAATCTCGTACGCCGTATACATAGATTTTGCCAAAGCCTTCGACAAGTTCCCACATGTCCCCTCATACACAAGCTGCGGGCGTGCGGAATCATTGATCTTCTTTTATCACTCATTGACAGCTTTCTCTCTCACCGCACTTTTACTGTAAGGGTAAACGGCACACTATCCGAAACTGGCCCTATCACAACCGGTGTCCGTCAGGGATCTGTTCTCGGTCCTCTTGTGTTTCTTATTTATATTAACGATCAACCTAGTGCATTACATACACACGTTGCTATGTACGCAGATGATGTCACTATCTGGGGGACAGATACCTACACGCTACAGGCATCTAGTGATACTGTAAAACACTGGTCCGTTGAATAGAATCTGCCCATCAATGATGAAAAGTGTGTAGGTATGACTTTTGTGAACTCCCCTCCCGCCTCGTTTCATATAAGTGGTACGCAACCTCTTTAGCATACCAACTTGCAGAAGGTTCTGGCTTCTGGTTAAACAGTAACCTCTCTTTTTCACACCCTAACCAGTTAGCCAGCAAATCTGCCCTTCGTGTTCTTGACCTTTTTCGAAGGTCTTTCTCCCATATCATAACGAAAGACTTTCCACTCATTTACGGTACTTATATCCGTCCCCTCCTAGAATATGGTAGTCAAGTTGTTCATTCCGGCCTGATCCGTGATCGTGATGCTGTCGAACGAGTTCACAAAGCGGCAACGAAAGCGGTGATTGGAATGCAACGCCTTCCCCATCCTGAACATCTAGTGGAGCTTGACCTGTATGATCTGGAAGTCAGGCGAATTAAAGGTGACTTATTTCTTCTACACCACCATTTCTCACTCTAGCCCCGACGGGTGGAACACGGGGTAGTAGTATAAATTTAAACAAACCTCGACCCCACACTACTCTTCGCACATCTTTCGTCACTTTCAGGATAATTTCACACTGGAACGCATTGCTATAAGAGATAATCTCTTTAACAAGCAAAACAGCGTTGAAGACTCGAATTGATAAATATCTAGGTCTAATTGCCTCCTCTTAAGGATCCGGGACCGTTGGGCGCCAGCCTCGAACCCGAGAGTCACTTCAAGACTTCAATATTTCAAAAACAAACAAACAAAAACAAACAAAAGCAAACAGAATTTTTTTTGGCTCACGTTACCATCCGGCACCCCCCTCGGCGATTTTCGTAAAAATATAAATACTGCTCATAAGTAGTGAAACATTTCCCCAGAAAATTGAAGCACAGAAATAAGTAAAAAATAATTTAATAAATAGTAAATGGTATTCAACATGGATACAACTGCGCAGGATGTTGCAAATAAATATGAAAGTCATTTTTAAAAGTCTGTATAGAAAGACTAAACCACTTTCGGTACTGAACTCCATCTAGATGTTCCTATATCAGATTTCAGACCGACCCCGTAGCGTTTTTCAAGCGTCTTTTGATATAGTTCCAAAAAGGACTCAACTTTATTATGTGAACATGACGTATGGAGTTGTTGAAACCGTCTGTGTGGTGGACAAATATGTTTGTAACCTAAAAAACAAAGTGATCCGGGTTGCGGGAGGACTCCTGCATATTCATTGTACGACCACATGCACAAGTAAGTGTTAGCGGCAATGAATGGCGCTCTTGCATATACCCCATACACGCCTCTCTTTGAATATCGTGTAGCATCCCCTATATTTTAGACCCGTCCAACATGTTTCAAGGTCACAATTTAAAACAAACCATGTAAAAATGGACTTTCGTGTATCATCAAACAGAACAATGTTTTATACATTAAAACTGTCTAAAAAAATATCCAAAACATTTGACAGTATCCGTTCCTCTGATGACCCAAAATTAAGCAAAAAATTGGGGGAGGGGGGGTGCCGGATGGTAACGTGAGTCTTTTTTTAAAAATATTTTTTTACTGTAGCCTTTATGTGTATTTATGCCTTTGCCCATTTCCTATAGTACTTTGATGCGTTTATTAATAATGTTGCCAGAATAACTATCATCGCTAGTCCCCCGGCAAGACGATATATTGACCCTCCAGTTTTTTCTGATTTTGCAGACAGCAAGAAACCATCGAGGATCCGAGACCATTGAGCGCCAGCCTCGAACCCAAGAGTCAATTCAAGACTTCAAAACTTCAACGTTACACGTTGTTTCTTTGAGTGTAAACTTGTAAAGGCCCACGTTTGTTTGTCGGGTTTGCAGTCTGCGGCGCTGCATTTGAGTTGCGTCCGCCATCATGAGCCTTGCGCGATCGGTGTTTTCGGTCGCGAAGTTTTTGAAGTGTAGTGGCTCTTTGACACACTTTTGTGCGAAACCGCATTTCGTTTCTGCATTTAGCAACAGTAAGTGTCGAAGATGATCATAAAAACGTTTTTAGAACGAAATTATGCTGCTCAGGCCCAAGCCACTGCAGCCGCCACTGCTCCCTCTACCGGCCGTGTGATTGCGGTTATCGGTGCGGTTGTAGATGTTCAGTTTGACGAAAATTTGCCCCCCATTCTCAATGCGTTGGAGGTTAAGGGGCGGTCACCACGACTCATCCTCGAAATAGCACAGCACCTCGGTGAAAACATAGTTCGCACTATTGCCATGGATGGCACAGAAGGTTTGGTTCGTGGTCAGCAGTGCGTGGATACTGGCGGTCCAATTTGTATTCCCGTCGGCCCTGAGACGTTAGGTCGTATCATGAACGTCATCGGCGAGCCGATTGACGAGCGCGGCCCCATTGTTACAAAGATGAAGTCAGGCATTCACCAAGAGGCGCCCGATTTCGTAGAAATGAGCACAGAGCAGGAAATTTTGGAAACGGGGATCAAGGTAGTTGACCTCTTGGCTCCATACGTGAAGGGAGGTAAAATTGGTGAGTATCATTTGCTTTTGTGTTAATAAATCTCAAGGTCTGTTCGGTGGTGCCGGTGTCGGAAAAACGGTTCTTATCATGGAATTAATCAATAACATTGCACGTGCACACGGTGGTTACTCTGTCTTCGCGGGTGTGGGTGAGCGTACCCGAGAAGGCAATGATCTGTACCATGAAATGATCACCACCGGAGTGATAGATCTCAAAGGCAACAATTCCAAGGTATTTTCAACTTACTTGTACACTACTGCTGCAGGTAGCCTTGGTGTACGGACAGATGAATGAACCCCCGGGAGCGCGCGCTCGTGTCGCTCTCTCAGGATTAACCGTGGCGGAGTATTTCCGTGACCAGGAGGGCCAAGATGTGTTGCTGTTCGTCGACAACATCTTCCGCTTTACACAGGCAGGTTCAGAGGTGTCGGCCCTCTTGGGTCGTATACCGAGCGCTGTAGGATATCAACCAACTCTTGCCACTGATATGGGTACTATGCAAGAAAGAATCACTTCAACCAAGAAGGGTTCCATCACGTCAGTGCAAGCCATCTATGTGCCTGCTGATGATCTGACTGATCCAGCACCAGCGACCACTTTCGCTCACTTGGATGCCACGACGGTGCTCAGTCGGGCCATTGCTGAACTTGGTATCTATCCCGCTGTCGATCCTCTCGACTCCAACAGCCGCATTCTTGATCCCAACATAGTCGGCGAGGAGCACTATTCTGTCGCTCGTGGTGTTCAGAAAATCCTACAGGTAACTTGATATTCTACTATATATAACTGGTTAGGATCATCGATCTCTCCAAGATATTATTGCTATCCTCGGTATGGATGAACTTTCGGAAGAGGATCGTCTGACAGTTGCGCGAGCTCGCAAGATTCAGCGGTTCTTGAGCCAGCCTTTCCAAGTTGCTGAAGTGTTCATTGGTCGTGAGGGCAAATTGGTGTCCTTGAAGGATTCCATTAAGGGCTTCAAGATGATTATCAACGGTAGGATAATTTGCCTGGGTCTCTAATCTCTTTATTTTCAGGTGAATTGGACCATATCCCGGAGGCTGCATTCTTCATGGTTGGTGCGATTGAAGATGTTTTAGAAAAGGCTGAACAATTGGCGAAAGAAAGCGCATAAGTCTTTCAAGAATGCATCTGGATGGCTGGACACTAGCAGTTTTAGCCGTGTAAACTATCGCCTGGTAGATCCAAATAAACCGATAGGCTTTTCTACAACGCGTTACGGTTTGTTTGCTCGTAAATCGGGACTTCAGAAACGCATCTGCAAGTGTGCTAATTTGGATTTTCAACTGTACGATTTGACGAGCCTTAAACACCTGTCGCTGCTCTCGTTTACATGTACAATAGACAGTCGGTTTTGTGCAGTGGTTCTTCCCAATTTGTTTCCTGTTAGGGAAATCAGAAAGTGATTTATCAAACATTTTGACGCCATCCATTCTCCGAAGGAATAGCGTAAATCTTCTAGATGTAGTTGAAATGTTTGCGGGATCGTCAGAATATCTGCGTTTGACATTCTTATGGCAATTTTCCTTCGCGATTTCATCATTATGCCAATGTAAATCATGGCTGAGGCTATTTCGACATAGTTGCTGTCGCCTGCCTCCATACACTTGGCTGCTGGGTCGCCTTCAGGTTCACACTTCCAAGCTTTCGATTCCAAGTTTTTCGGCGATTTAAGCGATTCTAGTTTTCCACCTTGAGCATATGAAAGCTAACGGACATTGGTTCTGGTTGTTGCTTGCATTGAGCATTAGCAAATGCGGGTCCTCCGGATTTCAGTTACCGGGTTCGACGATGATTAAGTGTCATGCGTGTGATTTGATTGCTTAGAGCTATGACGAATGTTTTTCAATGATAAATGAATGAATTTTTGTTCCATGGATAACGTGAATTGAATCTGGGTGACAGACGGAGTAGAGGTTTGATACACCTGGATAACGATTTGGTAAATGTAGAGACCATCGTTGATCCATAACGTTAACTCTTGGTTTTGCTACCCATCCGCTAAATGCTTGCCTGCTGAACTTAACAAAGCTGTTTTCAGAACGATTCTTAATCCTGCCTATTGGAGTTGAGGGTACTTTCGTATAGTAACGGATTAAGTTACGACGTTAAACATACTTGATCCCGTATATCGGTTGGTACGAAATCGTCGACAGGCTCCTGTATTTGGGTCAATGTCATGCTCGTGCGGTGAATTTTCCAGTGACTACTCAACAAGCGGTCCTTGACTTCGGGTGCCCGTTCGTGCTGTTTTCGTTCGCACAGGCGGTGAAATTGCACTTTCATACTTCGTTTTTATTAGTACTTATTGAATGTGATTCAATCAACCATTGGGAGAATACGACAAATGAGCTATAAATTTCCGAAGATAATCATAGAATACAAGAAAGAAGTGGTTGATAACTTTGTTCGGCAAAGCGAAGAATTTTCATACAGCGTAATACAGTGTAGCAAACTTCATTGATCGCTGCCAAATGCATGCATACTAGGTTGCTGCACATTTCACTTCTAGCGAGGTTGCTAAAGGCACGTCTGTCCAAACCCTGTTGTGTCGCATCTTGTTATTTCGGTCGAACCTAATTGTCTTAGAATAACAAACTAATATTAATTCGTTGGGTTGAGTGCTGGATGGGAGAGCCACGAATGTTGGGGACTAAGAGTTTCCAAGAGTTAGAGCTGGTATGGTGTATGCAATGTCAATGTGAATAGAGTTCAGGTAAACTAAGATTGCGAGGTAGTCGAGTTGATTTTCTGTCGCCATTGCAACAGTACTATCACTCAGTGTCTTCAACCATCAGGCAGCCTAACGTGACCTATCGACCCTAGGTTCTCGTTCAGGGTTTTCATGCCCGGTTTGCTTGGCCGCTTCCCCCTTCCTGAAAATTGTATCGATAAAAAGAAGGTAGAAATGAAAAATAAGTGTGACGACCAACACGTGGCACCATAGAGCTCCACCGACCGAAATGCGGCAGCTTATATCGGACCCCTGACGGTACCGGATGTTTCGACCGCGCAGTAGGTGTTCCAAGTTGCCAAACTCCAATCGAGACTCGTATGCGTACTGTAATTGCGTCTCTGACGCGTCCACACGGTGAGATGTTGCTGCCTAAATAACCTAATTTCTCTATTGCTTGCCCAGTTAGAGTGAGGTTGGGAGTTGAACCTGCGCAGCCCTATAGCAACATAACTTCGAAAATGCATGCCGAGTATAATTACACTACTGTGCAAACCATTCATAAAAGCTGAAAACCGATCTGGATCTTCAGTTAGCAGTACGATGTCGCCTATAGACTCAAGATGGGAGCATACCACCTGGTAGGATGAAGTACGAGAATTGGTGTTTCCATAATCAAATCTATCACAAGTTTGAAATCATCGTACAGCGAATACAGTGAAGCACTGATTGCTGCCAAACACGCAATACGTACAAGGTTATTGATAATATTTAAGGTGGACGGGTTGGATCTTTTTTGAGGAATGGGGTGGAAGGTGAACTTGTGTTCAACACAGTACACAATCGAACTCTGCAAACGTTAGCTTCAAGCGTTCTGTCCTGATAAGAAATGACGACAAGAAGGCCACTACTGTCGGTTCGTAGCCATATCCTTCAGTGTATCCAACCAACCGGTTGCGGAGTCTTTCGAACCCCAACCTGGAAGATGGGAGACCCATTCCACCTAATCGCTCTGTGCATTCCTTCGTGCCTCGTCTCCACGTCATCTGTTGACCCCCACGTGGTTTCTTCCAGCCCGTAGTGGCTACAGCAAATAAAGCGCGGTGCGGCAGATGACAGTTGGGCATACGCAGTACATGCCCTAGCGAACTCCATCAATGTGAATTCGATGTACTAGCAGGTTTAAACCCAAGCACACGACGACTAACCTCCAGATTACTAACCCGATCGCTCCATCCCAAGTGGGCTAAATTACGTAAACACGGGTAATCGAAAATTCCTAGTCGGTGGATATCTTCTACTCGCCAATTCAAGGTCTCAACCATAAAGCAGAACTGAACGAACGCTAGCACAATATACGTGACCTTTTAGCTCTGGTGGAATGTCGCTTCTACATCAAAGGTATTTCAGTCCTGCGTCTGCTGCTCAAGCCTTGAAAATGCGGGTAGTTATCTCCTTTGTTGAGCTACCGTCATTGGTCACACAACTACCCAAGCAGGGAATTAATCCACTACAACTGATTCCTATCCGTTTGGCTTCAAAGTGGCAAAGGGGGCGGGGGTCGCATTATTGAAATAATCCCCGTAACACCCTTCAAAGAAAGGTAGAAGAAAGTATAGAGTTGTCCACTGAGTCAAAGGTCGCTTTCAGATCAAGTAAGGTGAAAATGATGACCATACGGGTAAATGACTTACAGTTTCACTTTGTACAACCGAGCCGGTTTTAGTTGCTGTCTTTTGGAGAGGAAAAAGACGGCAAAGTTGAGAGTAGAGTCGAACAGAACATAGAGGATTTCAATTGACTGAGGTTTCAAGGAAACTGAAAAGATGCACGGAAACCACTTTTACGACAGTCAACCATGTCATTCACTGTTTCTAAATACCGTTACAATCATCCCTAGTTCCCCAGCCAGAGAGCCTAACGGTTCAGTTCAGTTTCGGTTTTTACAACCATCAACCATGAGCTTTCTTGCGCCGGTGTTGGTTGCTGTCTTCTGGCTGCCCATTTGGATAAAATAGCAGAATGAAGATTGAAATGTTCAGGGTAAATCCAAGCGGAAGATAGAGAATTCATATAGACTGATGTTATAAGACTAATGAGTAGTCGGAGCAAGTGGTCGGCCTCCATGGATTACGTCGGTTGGGACATGTGTTACGCATGTCACCAGATAGGTTATCACGTCGAGCGATGTTGGCCGAAGCAGACACCGAGTGGAAAAAACCAAGGGCGGTCAAGCTAAGACCTGGCACGAGGGTATGGAAATCTTGACCAAGAGACTAGGTCACATAGGTCCTGTTAGGCTCCCTCGCTGGGGACCTCGGGATGATCGTAACCGGTGGTTAGAGACACTGAGTGATATGGCTGGGTGTCGCAACCAGTGGCGTTCGTGCAACTCAATTTCTTTGCAACCTCAAACCACTGAACTTTTCCATTTTCTTTTCGACTCCACTTTCAAGTTTCCTTCTCCTATTTTTCATCCAAATAGGCAGCCAAAAGACAGCGACCAAAACCGGCGCACGAATATGCGTGGTTAATAATTGTTCAAACTGAAACTGAATGAGTAGATCCACGAGCGCCACTGTTTGCCACACCCGGCCATATCGCTGTGACTGATCTCGGGCACCCCATTCAGGGAGTCTAACGGGACCTATGTGACCCAGTCTCCTGGTTAGGGTTTTCATACCCCCATGCCAGGTCTTAGTTTGATCGCCCTTGACTTTTTTCATTCTCTACCTGCCTCCGCAAACATCGCTCGCCTTGGCAACCTATTTGGTGGTACGCGTAACACATGCCCCAACAAACGTCATCTATGGAGGTCGACCGCGACTGCCTAAAGCTGTACGCCTAATCTCAGCATTGCTGGTCCGGTTACTCCATCAGACTCATGCAATGCGATGTAGACAGCAGTGTTCGAACACCGACAATCTATTTTTATCTTGTTCCCGTAGTGGCCAAGTCTCTGCGCCGTAGAGCAGGACTGGCCGAACTGTTGCAGCATATACTCGACCCTTCACAGACAGCCGGAATTCGCGACGGCGCCACAGGTGTCTCAAGTTCGCAAATGCCAATTGAGCCTTCTGTATGCGTGCCAACACTTCATCTGTGACACCTTCGCTTTGTGAGATATAGCTGCCCAGAAAACAAAACTTATCCACTTACTCTATTACTTCCCCAGTTAGGGTGAGGCTGGGTGCTGGATCAACCCAGTCTTAAAGTAACATTTTACACTTTGGGGGTGCGAAACGCATACCGAACATCTCTACGCTGGTACCCAAGCTGTCCAGAAAAGCTTGCAACTTACCTGAATCTTTCCTTAGCAGCACAATGTCATCTGCATACTCCAGATCAGACAATCTGTCACCTGGGAGTAAGTCGACAGTGTTATCGTTGCATGAGGATGGGGTTGTTTCAAGAATTAAATCTCTGACAAAGTTAAATCA